GAGCCTTCTGGGCTTTCGTACATACACAGTAGATTGCAGCTTTCTTGTAGCGACCTAAACGGGCATAAAATTTTACGACATATCTCTGAGGATCCATCATGCAGCTGCGGTCATCACTTTGAAGAATCTGAACATTTTCTCCGCTGGTGCCCACTGTATTCAGATGCACGAAAAAATACAATACATCTTTTACCATCACACCAGCAATCAATTAAACCACTTCTTTTTGGCATAGGAAATCAGACTACATCTAATAACATCTTTAAAATAGTTCATGAATACTTCGATGTCACCAGACGCCTAAATATCTGATTGTATTTTTAGAACCCTTTTATCATGTTATAAAACAGTACTTCCACATTTATTTCATTTGTTTTATATAGTGTATATAAATTATTTAATTTATATGATTTTCACCATTATGTTATAATATGTACATAGGAGATCTGTATATTATATGTTTTATATTCCTTGTATGAGGAGAGGGGTGATATAGGCTTTGCCTGTTCCCTGATCCCTTTTCATAAATTTCTAAAATAAAATATTGTTCACACAAAAAAAAAGAAAAACAAGTGCTGCTTATACATTGGACTTCCGACAAGGAAAACCAGACTGGAAAATCCCGAGAAAATCGTTACGACATCAGGATCGAACCCGGGACCTCTTGGCATCCTACTCATCTAGTCGCCGTCGCCTCCAGAATTATACTCGCTAGTTTTCTTGTAGCAAACGAAACTTTGATTTGAAATATGAAAATAAAATCGTGATTAGTATTAAGGGCATAATCCTATTGTTTTCTTCATTATTTATATATATAATATACTAAACAGCACAAAAAAAACACAACAAAAACCCCCCAAAAAAACAACGCCAGTACGATTTCAAAATCAGAGAGGCGCTTTAATCAAATCATTCTAGAAAACGACTTACTAAATGGTTCAAAGCAATTGTTTGTGAACAGTATGTTGACACATTAGTGATTAATTCATCACAATTCCAAGACATTACGAGAAGGTTTAGGGTCTGTACACAGTCTATACATCCGTATCTGGTGTGTCCACCGCGAGTGTCAATAACGGCAGCGCAGCTTCCGTACATGGAGTGGACCAGACGATTGATAAACGCCATTGGCACCTGGAACCACACTCTCAGAAAAGCCTGACACAATCCATCGGCTGTGTTTGGTCTTGGTACGACGTTATTAAGTCTCCTCTGAATTTTATCGCAAAGATGTTCCATCCGGTTTAAGTAAGGACTAAGGGTTGGCCAGTGCATAACGTTGACACCGGTTTGCTGTAGAAAGCCCCGAGTAACTCTGGCGGTGTGGGCACGGGAGTTGTCATGCTGGGAAACGCTGTTACGATGACGTGCAAAATGTGGTATATGTGGGGTCTGAGAGCTTGATCGATGTAGCGCACTGCTGTGATGCCACCTCCTCTCCCTAGAGCAAGACTTTGGAACACTATAGGACCCACTCTCTGTTCAGGCCGATTCCATTCCAAACAATTATGCTTTGACCTCCCCATGAGTTTCGTTCCATGACACATTGTCAAAATAACGCTGGCCCCATCGACCCCATATTCCGGTCCTGCCATCTGCAGTTGATACGCAATACCGACTCTCATCTGTAAATAGAACAGTTCTCCATTGCCTGTGTCGCCAGTTCTGGTGTTGATGGGCAAACTGTAGACGTTCACGGCGATGGCGAGGGGTGAGGATCGGTCCACGGTAGGGTCTACGGCAATGGATGTTCTCTCTGGTGAGACGTCGACGCACTGTATCGGTATTGATGGGTCTTTCGTGTGTTCCCACTGTCTCAGATGCCCGTGTGAAGGCATTCTGCACGTGCAGTCGCACAACATGGCTGTCCAGTCGCCTTGTGGTAACCTTTGGTCTACCAGTTCGGGGGCGATCATCCGTGGTGTTGGTGGCCCGAAAGCGTTGCTGAAGCCTGTAGATGGTCAGAAAATTGACCTGGAAGTGATTGACAGCGGTTTGGGCAGTGTGGCCAGCGTCTTCCAAGCGCCTGATTCCTCTGAGCTGCGTCGTGACATTCTGGTGACTTTGTAGTGGTGTGAATGATTCAACCAGGTATGGGGGTACACTTTATAGGGCTGGTCCCGGTTAACAGCACGTGCATATTATAGGGCTGGTCCCGGCTAACAGCACGTGCAGTATGAGTTACATGAAAATCATGGAGAACACATTACCATCTCAGAAGTCAAGTTGCGTGTTACATGAAAATCATGAAGAACACATTACTATCTCAGAAGTCAAGTTGCGTTTTTGAGAACATTTCCTGGGTTCAGTTCAGTGTTTGGGAAGGTGCTTTATTGCTCAGGTAAAGTTGGAGACGTGGTCACAAATACACAATAAAACATTTGGCAAGTTTTATGCAATGCGTCTATTCAGAGTAACATACCAACCTGCCGTTTCTTTTGCTGCTTAGTATAGTATTCAAATCATTATACTCATTATCAGTTCAAATTAAAATGGAGAAACTGACAAGCTATAAATATTTCAATAAGTTCCTAAACGTCATTTATGTAATGGTAAACTATATTGCGAAATAAATTGGTATCCGATAATTTTTAATGTCATTTATATGATTGGTAAACCTATATTGCGAAACAAATTCGTATTCGATAATTATGCAAGATCATTTATGTAATGGTAACCTATATAATGTACATTTCATCATTATTTAGCCTACATAACAATATTGATCATGATATACCTATATTGTTACAAAGCTGTGTGGGAATATTGATATTACATTGGGACTTGATCATGGATTTCTTATACCGAGATGTAGATGGATTTACCGTTAATATAAATCACCAAATTGACAGAAAATTTAATGTCAACAGCGGCAGTAAATTTGGTAAATTGACGATGTGCTACAACATAGTTTTCATATTATTAAAATTAGTGACATAAGGGGCAGGACATAGTTACATCGATATCATTTGTTGGGTTTTTCGGTTTATTTATTAATCTATAATTGTTGCTTTCTTTAAAACAAAAATCATATACCAAGTAATTTTCTTTGTACTCGTGTAATATAAAACGTCAATATTACCTACGTCTTTTTTTACCGAGTTCATGTGTCTTCTCGGCTTCTAGATAATAATATGTTTGGTAGAGTTTCCATATGACTTTTAGGTGTCTAGATAATTGTTATGTTTGGTGTCTAAACAATTGTTATGTTTGCTGTAGTTTTCATGTGTCTTCTAGGTTTCTAATCAATTTTTATGTTTAGTGTAGTTTCAACGTTTCTTCTACGTTTCTAAATAATTGTTATCTTTATTGAAGTTTTTTATATGTCGTCTACGCTTCTAGATAATTGTTATGCTTGATGGAGTTTTAATGTGTCTTCTACTTTTCTAGGCAAGTGTCATTTGTGGTGCAGTTTCCATATAGGTTTCCAGATAATTGCTATGTTTGGTGGAATTTCCATATGTCTTATTGTAAGTTTCTAGATAATTGTTTCTAGAATACGACTTAGTACTGATTAAGACGTGTGTACAACCGCACACCATGTTTAGCTTTACACTTCCCGGATATTAATTTCATTACTTTACAAGACATGCTAAACGGGATATGGCCAAAATAAAGCATCCCCACTTTATATTCTTCGCCTAACCTTTTTATGGGCCTCGTTTGAATCCAAATCAATCCAAGTCCGTGGATTACCTGCCGTTGATATTTTGATGTCTGTTGTCTGATAATCAATTTTAGTGCATCTTAGCGTGGTTTAATCCGTACAAAATGAGATATTTTGCGAAACATTCAAATAACAATCAGCGACTTTAATATATTCTTGTCTTGTAATGAATAGGAATAATTTGAAACTCTGCTCAATTGACACAAATTCCGCCCGGTGATGTGACGTTATTTTCAAATTGCGATATCTCAAGAATTATTTTCAAAATCTCTAAATTTCATAGTTTGTCATTTTAGAGAATATAACTGGATACATCAAACTGTTGCGGAATAAGACATTAAAAAAAAACCCGAGATAAAAAGGGGTTTAACATCCTAGCTTTCTGCTCTATCCAGTGTGATGAAAACGGGCTACAAGAGAAACTTTGCCCCGACAGCGCCACTATATATGGCCTATCTTTATTTCGAATTCAAACTGTCAAAGGCTAATTTATGTGCACGTCAATGTGTTCATGGGACCTCGATTTTTCGTGCCATCCGAACGACTAGACACTGTTTCTTGCCAGACCCGCTGTCCTACACCACTCATTAGGGGAAAAGACTTCGGAAAAGCCAGACGAACCTTCTTAGCCAACACCGGGATCGAAACCAGGACCTCCATCCCCGTCTCCGCCTAAACATAACGTTGTCATCGAAATAAACGTTTCTGACAAGGAAGAAACCGTTTGTCTAATTCTTCGGATCGTATTAAAATCCGAAGTACACAATGACGTGCACGTTAAAACAGCACTGACAAGTACAGCGGGAATAAGCAAGACGCCAGTGCCTGGGCAAAATTATCTTCTATTACATTACATAGTTAACCACATGTTAGTCTCAAATTTACCTAACTAAAGTGTCTACCGGTCCTACTATACTAATCAAGTTTTATATAAATCTACGTTAGAATGCATGGTAATTATTATTCTAACAAAAACGACAAACTGTAAACGTTCCCTGCGATTTTTCTTGACACTGAATTTATTTACTATGCCATCGAAATGGATACAATTTTGATAAAGAATAAATTTTCGATATTATATAAAATGATCTAATTGCATAATTGAAACATTGCTTGAGATATCTGACCAATGACTGATTATAATGGCTTTCATGCAATATTGAATTATTGGACATAATCTATTAAAATATATTGTAGAGTAAGCAAAATATACATGGTCATATTGTTAAGATATATAACGCTAAGTGGTATCAGGTGCTCTCGGTAGAGTTAGCATAAAATACATGTTCATACTATTACAGTATATCAAATATAAATATATATGATTATTTACCTGAACTGAATCTGTTGACCAGGCAACTTGCTTACATCCATAAAATAGATGAAATGTAGCTAACTTGGTTTCTAATTTACTTATATATGCACAAATTCTTCCGAAAATGTAAATCCACCAGACACGTGCATGTCCATCATGTGAACACACACAAACTATCAACCAATAGAATGCTAATATGGTGTTTACAATATTTATCGATATCTAACCACCAATGAAAAGCAAGTTTTAGCCAGTCATTCATAAATGTATGGATATTGCTTCATGGTCTTCATCACTGGTCTACTATATATATAACACGTGTTCATGTATTGTTCTACATATATTCTTCAAGCGGCTAGTCAAGCTAGTTAAACAATTTAAAACTAATTCCATACTCAGGAAGTCTTTCGGTGGTCGAGTTGTCTAACGCGTACGGTTTAGATGATAAGGTTTATCACTGAGTCCGGTGGCGTGGTTACGATTCCAGGCGTGTTCATAAAAAGGGGGTAGAGTCGAGTGTCCAACCTCGCGAGTCTTCTCTGGGTTCCGTAGGTGTGTTCATAAAAAGGGGTAGAGTCGCCTGTCCAACCTCTCTGGGTCCCCTGGGCCCCTCCTTGTAAACGACCTAGCTTATGCCGAGTTGACTTTAACCCCCCCCCCCCCCACACACACACCATATTAAATTATTCCCAAAATGGCCTAGTTTGTGTTGAATGATCTCTCTCTCTCTCTCTCTCTCTCACATTTCCTTCGATTTCCATGCAGCTTGTACGTATGGTCGCCTGTCCAATGAAGTTTGTTGTCAGTAGGTCCTCCGGTTTTCTCCTTCTGTAACCCTCCCACCGCTAAAGACCCCTACGCGCAATCGAATTATAGAAATATAATTGAACCATATGTTAGTCCCGAAATGACCTAGTTTGTGTCGAGTGGACGTTAATACCCCCTCTCTCTCTCTCTCTCTCTCTCTCTCTTTCTCTCTGAAAGCGGAGTACCCCCCTTTAAATAATACAAACACGTTATCGATTACTTTGCTTTGTATAGTGTAAATTCAATTTGTGAAGGCGGTATGGTTTTCATATGCGTCACTTTGGTGTTATATGACAATAACCTTAAAACCGAACCTTTGGGGATGATATTAGAGGGCGAATGTATGCTTTTAAACAGGTAGTAACGAATGTCCTACGCGTGAACATGTTTCTCTGACCTGGTATTCCTCTGTTGGTCATTATTAGTAACACAATATAACACGAGTCAGGTTTATGACGTCTTAAGTTGGGCAATCTTCGGCTATGTCATGGAAAATGTCAAATATTCTGATAATCAAGTCGCCATTTTTACAACTTTTTTTTCAGGAGCTTTAGACTGTCGATTAGGCTAAATGTAGTGGTATGTTTTGACTAAATTCAACACTTTTCATTTTGAGGCTAATATACGATAATTATTGTTTCTGTTGTCATGCTGCAATGCAAGGTTGGGAAAAGCAGAGGCTGGCCGGAAAGCGGCGTGTACACATACTCTTTTTCGAATTCTAGAGTGCAACTACGTGCACTAATAATATATACACCGGACCCCAGTTTTTGCACCACCGAACAACTAGACACTTTCCATTTCAGCCCCACGGGCACTACCCCTGACAAATGAGAATTGAGTTCGCAAAGGTTAATTTTAAGAAATCATGCTAGTCTGTGACATATAGCCTTGAGTAGTTTAACATCAGAAGTAGGTTTGTGAGATATCAGACGGGAAATACCGAATGAAACATGTAAGGGAGCTAAATCCATCCATAATCCGTTATAGATAGATTACTTGAACACAAGCACATTGTGGATGGTTGTTGCGCAATGGTTATTCTTGCGGTTTCTCGAACATCCGATTTCACCTCTCATTTGCTAGCCTAACGATATCTACTGCACCTTTGCATTTTTAAACCTCAGTTGCCACTGACCCTGTTGGAACCCACGTGTTAGAGTTTAACAAAAAAATGTTACATTTAAATCTATAAGTTTTCAAAAACTTTTGTTGGTATTTGCCCCGAGGTTACTTTCCACCATAAAGCTTCGGTTTCTGAAATCTTCAAGTTCAGCCTACCACTTCTCTTTAGCTATAGCTTGTCGTGTATGATTACTTTTTAAGAACATACCATAATAGAGCGGGAGCCCAGGGGGTTAACCTAGCTGAAAAGTGTACCAATTTTCTCCTATATGGTATCAATGCATGTATATATGGTATCATCAGAATGTAAGTCTGTCGGGTTTCTGGTGGTGGGTGTGATATTCCACGCCCAAAATGCCATGCCCCCCAACTAGACTAGATTAGCTCAAAAGTGTACCACATGAAAATCTTACAGCAGTGTACCGTACACCTTCAGGTGTTACAAAAACACTCTAACAGACATTTCTAGTGGTGGGTTACCCCTGACAGAGCTATGTAATTGTCAGACATTTGTCGTTCTCTATAACGGTTCTCATTTAAATGGTTAGTTAAGTGACTCGGAAAATAACTTACATATTTCCTCAGGATTTTCTAGCCCGCCTCTTAGCGTTTAAAGATACCCCCCCCCCCCCTCGTGTACAAACTGGGTGATTTAATGGTATATATTCAAACTAATTGATTTGTCATAATTTTGCTTCAAATCCTTCTCAAACATTGTAATTGCTAAGGAATGCCCTGCTATAAAAATTCGATCAAACCAGGTCATGTTTACGTCACGTGACTTACCTCTCTTGGAAGTCAGAGGAGAATTCATTGCATACAAAAGACGGATGTTGTCTTTAATCGCTTACTATTTATTACAAATATCGAATCCTAATTAAATTCTCGGATTATCCACTACTCGCGTCTTTTCCCGTCATTTTTATCTCAGAAAGTGTTGTACGTCTTACTCTACATAAAGTTTATCAACTTGTACATCAAGCGCTCAATGTTCGCGTGTGACCTTTGACATCACGCGTGCAGAAATTCCTAATCGTCGGGCTGTCGATTAAGGGGACCCATACATTTTTGTCCTGCATGCGCTCCATGAGTGTTTTTCGGGAAATCCAGTATTTTTCTAGTAAGATTGCATATCTTTACTTTCCATATATACCAAAATTGCCATACTTTTATTGGAAATAACCACCCGATAAATACTTTTCTGGGAACCCATCTTTAATCATTTGGATGGGGCGAAAACATATGCCCACCATTGGTATACACGTAAAAGAACCCTTGACAGAAATGCCGCATTCCGGGAAGAATTTGACAAACTGCATGGCGCATGCTGGTCTTCACTATCCCGGTTGGTGAAGAAAAGTATGATATCAAACCCACGTAGATAACCATTTTTATTTTAATCAGCATTGAACCTATAAATCATGTGTTGAATAATTGAAGTAATGAAGTATTTTAGGTGTTAAGATACCTTGGTATTATTCCCGATATGGTTGTTGACATTTTCTTAATGACTTCATTACTTTTACTTTCGATTCTATTCCCTTTTATTGGCATTCGTTAAATTTTTCTTTGTCATTAAATCCAATTTACTGATCATGTTTTTGTATTAAACAGTGTTATGATTAATACCTTTAATGCGTTAACTGACCTTTAAGAAAATGTTACACGGTAAGCCTGGACTCATTTCACAAGGTAATACAAAGTTTTAGCTTCGTGTAATAATGGATTTCGCGGTTTTGGTCATTATAACCTCTTCAAAATACAAATTACCAATCTGGGTCGGTCTGTTAAGATATAGGGGACATCTGGTGGTTTCCTATGTTAACTGTAAAGGTGAATTGTCTACTTTTTATTCCAGACGTACTTTCGTACTTATATACGAAGGCAGTTTACTTGGCAATATTACAGTAAATTACCCGTAGATACCCAAAGAGAGAAATGGGGTTTGACGTCCACCCGACGTAAACTAGGTCATTTCGTGACTAACATATGGTTCAATTTTATTTCAATAATTCGCGTAGGGGTCTTTAGCAGTAGGAGGAAACCGAAAGACTCAGAGAAAACCCACGAGGTGGGACAGGCGAACCTGCCCCTTGTCACATACAACGGGGAAATCGAAACAAAGCCAGTTGACTCAATAACAGACCTTATGATACAGCACGCACACGCTTATCATTCAGCCATACCCCCCCACCCCAGCTATGCCTCGATAACTCGGAGGTCCCGGGTTTCATCTCGGTCTCCAGAAACTTCCTTGGGATTTCTCGGCGTAGTTTCCCCATGTCAATGGCGGAAGGTCTGACAAAGACAGCATATGGTTGTCCGGATGATACACAAACGAGAGAGAGAGAGAGAGAGACACACACACACACACACCCAGAGACACAGAGAGAAATGGGGTTTAACGTGCACTCGACACAAACTAGGTCATTTCGGGACTAACATATGGTTTAATTTTATTTCAAAAATTCGCTTGTGCGTAGGGGTCTTTAGCAGTGGGAGGAAACCGGAGGACTCGGAGAAAACCCACGAGGTTGGACAGGCGACCCTACTCCTTGTCACCTACAACCGGGGATTTGAAACCACGCCAGTTGACTCAGTGACAGGCTTTATGATACAGCGCGCACGTGCTAACCATTCGGACATCCACCACCCCCACCCCCGATACAAATATACATAAAAGAACCCTTGAAATTTGGAATTCAAGATATGAGTAGTATATGATAGCGCGAAATTTTACATCATAAAACACTACTTTTCGTATGTCCGTCTTCATTAACCCGGATGGAAAAGAAAAGTAGGACGTTGAACGTACATCTATTATTACAACAACGGTAATCATGGCAGAGCCTCGGGTCAAAAATTATTATTTTTCTTTTGTTTTAAATTTGTCACAGCCGAGAATATGAAACCCCGGTGAGATTCAAACACAATCATGACAGTGCCTCGGGACAGATTGTTCATTTTTGTACTTTTTTTAAATGTGTCGTGGGCGAATTATGACCTGAGATAAAAGAAGATGGTGGGAAATCGTGGGAATATTAAAATGACATTAACATTCATGGAGCTATAAATGAGATTCCATTTAAACAGATTACAAAGCGTGACATACATATAGAAGACCACAATAACCTTTAACCGTCATTTTAGATGCAGAATATCCAATTGAACGAATAGTCTCTTGAATGGCACACCATACGATATAGTTATATCA